TTTTTTTTTTTTTTTTTTTTTTTTGTCAATCCTCACTGGAGGATACTTTTCCCATTGATTTTTAGAAAGAGTGGCAGGGAAGGTGGGGAAGGGGGAAACATCGATGTGAGAAAGAAACATCGGTTGCCCTCCGTGGGCGACCTGAGGGGGGATCAAACCAGCACCTAGGTATGTGCGCTGACCAGAAATCGAACCCGCAACCTTTTGGTGTACGGGATGATGCTCCAACCAGCTGAAACACCCAGCCAGGGTGCCAATACTTTTCTTATTCCCTGGCATCTGGAAAAATTTCTCCCCTCCAACACTTTCGCTTTTCTTCTCCTTCCTGTGGATATCACTGAGAATCACCTTCCTTCTTGAAAGCGCTCTACTGCGGTTGAACCAGAAAAGGTTTCTAGCGAGGCTGAGGTCCAGTATCTAAAAAGGTGGGGTGGGGCCTTCTTCCCTGAAGCACTCTGTCACCAGGTCACCTAATCCGACCCCCAGCCTCTCAGGCCAGGCCTCCCTGGGCTTTCCTGGGCCTTGAAACTTTCTGCGGCCAGGAAGACGCTGGTCCGGCGGGCCTCTCACCCCTTCCGGCCACACGGAGGGGCCGTGCTGTTCCTCGGTCAATAGCGCGCTAGTCTCCTCCCTCACCCGCAGGAAACTTTCTCAACCCTGACTCCGCCGGTCCTCACTCCCGAGAGCTGCCAAACGCCTTCGCAAGGCTCTCTCTCCCCGAGCTGGCTCCACCACACCCCCTGAGCTTCACCAAGTCGCCCCTAATTTCCTTCCCCGCCAATTCCCCCCGGTCAGACCTTGCCCAGGGCGCCTCAGACCCCAACCTGCCCCCCACATCCTACCCCTAACCGCCCGCCTTCGGCCTCTGGGCCGTTCACTCCTCCCAGGAGAGCCGCCCGGGCACTCACCGTGGACGTCGCGCTCTCCGTCGGCCGCTTCGGCCCCGACGAGGAGCAGCGCTGACAGCAGGGCGAGGAGCGCCCGGCACGGGCTCGGCCCGCACAGCTGCGCCATGACTAGCTCCACAACTAGGTCCCCTCGGCCGCGCGCACAGGCGAAGCTTCCAGCCGCTGGCCGTTGGGGTCTCGCGATCAGGTGCGGGAAGCCCCTTGCCGCGCACGCGCACTGGGACGCCCCCGCGTTCAGGTGCGTTCGCCCGCTGAGGGGCCGCGCCGGCGCTCGGGCCGAAGTCTCGGGAAGAAAGCCTTTCTCCGCCCTTCGGCGTAAGGACTCTCTACCTCCTTCGCCCACAGGGCGGGAGAACGCTCCTCTCTAGCCCCCTTGCCCCGTGACACACGGCGACTGCCCACCGTTCGGACCCCGCCACACGTCCAAATGCTCGGTGTAGACTGAAACCAATGGCGGCCGCCTTGAAGGAGCCACCGAAGGTGGCCGGCCGAGGAGGGGGCGGAGCGCACCTGGCGCAGGCGCAGGGAGCAGGCACCTGCGCGGCCGCGCTCCCCCTGGGGCGCACCTGGGCCCACCTCCTGGCGCTGGGGAAAGGGCCTGGGCTGGCGTCGGCTCCGCCCGGGCTAGAGCCGGACCTGGGGGTAGGCGCACGCCCCCCGAGCACAGGCTCCCCGATACCCTTTCCCTTGGGCTGGTTTATGACGTCCCCGCACCTTCGCTCTTGGCCTTGCGCCTGGGGGCAGGAGCAGAGGGCGCAGACACGCTCTTCCTGGAAATCTGGCTTTTTGCCCGCCTCAATTCAGCCTTCCTTTGAGGAAGAGGGATTTATATTCTTCCTAAATTCGACTTCCCCTAAAGTGCCTACTTGTTGGTAATTCAGCATCGACCACGTCAGACCAGCCCTTGCGTCACCAGACAGGAGCAGCCCAGAGTCGTGGTGACGCAAGCATAGGGCAGAGTGATTAGGGATGTGACGGGCAAGCACAGGCTAAGTCGTGGGCTGGGGCGATGGAGGATGGGAACCCAGACAAGTTGCCCATTCAGTGTGAGAAAGGGCTTCCGCGAAGGAGGTGATAGACTCATGAATGAACACCAGCCTCAGGCCCTGCCTCTGCGGTTCCCAGTCTGAGATGAAGACAAATTATTCACCAGACTGGGCTAGGTGTCGGGGCAGTGACAGGGAAGCACAGACAGAGTAATCAGGCCGGAAAGGAGGAAAACCCACGGGAAGTACCTGGTGAATAAAGTGCCATTGTATGGATAAACCACGTTTTATTTATCCAGTCATCGGTTGATGGGCTGGCCTGTTTCTACCTTTTGGCTATTATGAACAACGGTGCTATGAACATTCATAGACAAATTTTTGTGTGAACCTAAGTTTCCAATTCTCTGCTATACATCTAGGAGTGGAATTGCTGAGTTATATGGTTACTCTAAGTTTAACCTTTCGAGGAACGGACAGACTTTTCCAAAGTGGTTACACCATTTTACATTCCCACCATCTATGTATGAAGATTCTGATTTGTCCACATCCTTGTCAACAGCTGGTATTTTCCATTTTTAAAAAATTATAGCCGGCTCTGGGCAGGTGGCTCAGCTGGCTGGAGTGTCGTCCCAGACACCGAAAGGTTGCAGGTTCGATTTCTTGGGGGCAGAGATGGTGATCATGCTCTGTTGACAGTGATTGTTAGCTATAGCTATAAGAAACGTTAATCAAGTTCTGTTAACTGTGATTGTTCTGTTCCAATTAGAAAAAGAACTTTCTAACCTGGCTGGGAGTTGTACCCCCGGGACCTGGGAACCTGGAGTCCACTGCATTGAACCATTACACCCATTCTTACTCATGTTGCCTACTTCCCTAGGCCTGTAATTCCTTTGCCTGCTTCCCCTGTAATCTTTGTCCTTCTACCCAATATAAGCAGCTGGTTTATGGGGGGTAGGGGAATGGTTAGAGCAGATTTTCCTGGATAACACCCTGCTCTCCCATTTTGCTGGCAATATTGGAATAAACGCAATATTGGAGTAAATGTTCATATACAAGTCAACTCTCTTTGTTTCATTGGCTCAAGTAGTGACAGGCAGCCCAGACCCATTTGTTGTCTAGTTTCAGATTCTCGGTCAGGGCACGTACCTAGATTGCAGGTTTGAGCCCCGGTCTGGGTGAATACGGGAGGCAGCCAATCTGTCTCTCTCTCTCTCTCTCCCTTCCTCTCTCTCTAAAAATCAGTAAAACATATCCTTGGGTGAGGATTAAAAAATAAATTAATTATAGCCATCCAAGTGGCTGTGAAGTGGTATTTCATCATGGATTTGTATTTTTCTGATAACCAATGATATTGAACATCATTTATTGTGTTGATTGTCTTTCACGTTTACTTTTTAGAGAAATGTCTATTCAGATCCTTTGTCCATTTTTAAATTGGGTTATTTGTCCTGTTGTGATTGAGTTGCATAACTTCTTTATTTTAGATACGAGTGTCTAATAAGATATATGATTTGCAATTTTTTCTCCAGTTCTATGGGGTTGTCTTTTCACTTTCTTAATAGTGTCCTTTGAAACACAAAAGTTTTTAATTTAAATGTGTCAATATAATGGGCTGGAGATGGGGTGGAGAGGTCAATGGGGGGAGAAGGGGACAGCTGCAGTATTTTCAACAATAAAGATACATTTTTAAAAAGTAAAAAAAGTAATATGTTGCCATAAATGTCCAAACCTGTAGAGAGTTTTTATAAGGATTTCTTTGAGCCAAGCTAATAACATATGCCAGAGACCAAGATTTCAGCTGCTCTGGAAAATAAGTTTTGCAGTTTGTTTTATGAATTTGAAATTAAGCAGGAACATAAAGAAGATTCCATGAGAGTGAGATGAAGCAAGGCAGGGATGTATTACAGGAGAGGTTATGGAGGGGTCTGGAAGGGTGAACAGGTATTAGAAGGAGGGGTCTGAAAAGAGGCATTTCAAAAGTGTGTTAACCTAGATGCACAGAAACAGTGGACAGAGCTTGCTTAAGGCAAAGATAACGTTTTACTACCCACCATGGCCTGCCCAGTTAGGAATTTATGATTAAATCACCCTTTGAGGTTACTTTCCATATCCGCCTGCCCCCCCCCCCTTTAAGTCCACAGTGTTATACCAAAAGCATAAGCAACAAAAGAAAAAAAATACATAAATTGGATGTCATCTGTGGACGAAAATACCAACCTCACGGGTGACCTGGTAATAAATTCCTAACTGGGCAGGTCACTGTGGGTAAAGAGGCCCAGGTCTATAACTTTTCAATAAAAGGTTTATCTTTGCTTTAAGTAAGCCCTGTCCATTGTTTCTGTGCTTCTAGGTTAACACACCTTTGACATAAACTTAACCACCATCAAGAGAACACACGTAAACAACAGAACTAAAATCCACCCTGTCATTTAAAGCCCAGCATCTCAACATTACCTGCTACTTCCAGGTTATTATTTAATACTATTAAATGGTCTAAATCACTTCTCAAATTATAGGACTACATGGCTTTCTAAATTTTAAAGCATAAAAAAAAAAAGAGAGAGAGAACACATGATCTTATCCTGTAATCCAGTCCCTGCATTGCTTTCTCCCACCTTCACATAATCTTCCTTAGTTCCCTTCTTAATCTTAAATGCATGAAAGAAACTGCAAAGCTGTTACTCCCTGAAGCAGTTCAGATCTTGCTCCCTGGCATATGTCCTCAGTGTGGCTCAAATAAACTCATAAAAATTCTCTACAGGTTTGAACGTTTTTCTTTCTAAAATTTTATTTATTGATTTGTTAGAGGCAGAGAGAGAGAGAGAGAGAGAAACATCGACTTGCTGTTCCACTTATTCACGCAGTCATTGGTTGCTTCTTGTATGTGCCCTGACCCGGGATGTAACTCGAAACCTTGGTATATTGGGACGATGCTCTAACCAACGGATTACCCAGCCAGGGCCTTTAATGTTTCTTATGTCAATATCCAAGAAACCATTGCCTACTTATGGATAGTTTTAAGCAGGGGAGGGACATGGTCAAAATTAAGTTTTAAAGTATCATTCTTACTACTTATAAGTAGAAGTGGGAAGACCTGTGAAGTAAGGTAAGGGTCTTCTCTTGTCCCCCTTGCTAAAATCGCAACCCTGCCCTCACTACATTCCTCCTTTTCTGCTTCCTATTTCTCCAAAGAACTTATATTCTAATAAACTTATAATATGCCTGTCAACTCCATGAGGACTGGGCTTGTCTCTTGTTCACTGCCCTGCTATAGAGAAAGCACTCAATGAATATTTGTAGAGTGAACGATTAAATAAACGAATGAATGCGCGGATGAGTGGAAAAATGAAACAACAAACAAATGACGTCCTGTGAGTATTGTGACTTGACGTTCCTGACTTGACGTTCCTCTGCAAAGAAAGGTGGTCAGGAACCTCCTGCACCGTTCCTTGCAACCGCCAGAGGGCGCACACAGGCCGGTTCCCCAGAGCCTGTCCTGGTACCCCGACCCCGGGATCCAGTGCCCTGGAGCCCCAGACGCCCAGCCGGGCCAGGGGCTCCGGACCCTGCCCATACCTGAGCCCCGCTCGTCTGCGGGCTTTACGCCCGCGCGACGGCAAGTCCTCGGATTGCAAGCGGGAAAACTGAGGCCCCGGGCGGCTGGGGCGGGGCC